ATTCAAGGTACCTTTACTGTCCATGAAGAGCATCTTGCACTATATTGCTCTCAACCAAAGCTTAGAACAGTCTTTTATCAGCCTTAGATACGAGTAAGTGTCACGGTCCAAGAACAGGTTAGTTGATGCCTTAGCCATAATTGCTTTAAGGGTGCCCATGACCAAGAATCCTTTTAGTGTCCAAGTTATCCAAACGGAGCACACAATCTGTCATGGCTATGAACTTGTTTTACTTGAGCTGCTTGACAGTGCTAACTCGTGGTATAAGACTTACAATGCTTTGTTACAGTGAAAACTTGATGTGCCTTTAAAGGATTTGTCTAGCTATGTTATCATTTCTTGTGGGCTGTAGTATCACCTCTCTAGCGTTGTCATGGCTAGGTGTGTCAGTGATAAGGAGGCTTATCATAGACTTAGAGAAATTCATCATTGCACCTATGGCCAGGATAGCCATGTAAGCCTATACCACCGAATTCAACAAGCGGGGTACTATTGGCAATTAAAACCTCAATTTGGTCCCTCTACTTTGACAAAAAGCCCTTTTTTAGTCACTCTACTTAAAAAAGCCCTTATTGGGTCCCTAAAGTTTGAAATTCGACCCTTTTTTGTTCCTTTCTTTAGTTTTTGCGTTTGGTTGTTGGAATTTTCAAGGGGGGGGGCCCAAAAGGGGTTTTTTTTCAAAGTAGAAAGACCAAATTGGGCTTATTTTTAACCCTTATTTAGTCCCTCTACTTTATAATTTCCATCATCTAATATGCTACGTATGCAAAATTTAATGGAGGGACTAAAAATGGGCTAAATTTCAAACTTTAGGGATAAAAAAGGGGCTTTTTTAAGTAAAAGGAGCTTTTTACAAAAGAAAAGGGATTGAAATGGGGACTTAACCATTATTGGCCAGACATGGCATGTAAAGCCACTGAATTTTAGCAATAGTGTGTATCTTGTCAGTAAACTTATTACCAAGTCAAGGAATGTTTTGTTGTTGACGGTGTTTAAGAATGGCACTGTCCTAACATAGAGTATTTCGTTGAGGGAATATGGCCAAGGTCTCCAAAGGATGCGCACAACTTAAAGAGTTCTTTGTCAAAATTTTTCATGGACAGTGGAGTTTTGTTTCACACTAGCTTTGTTGGCAAATCATTTCACTGCCTATCCTTAACAAAATCTCAGAAGATTATGGTTGAGATACATGCAAGTGAATGTGGTGAACATCAAGGATGAAGAAAGTTGTACGTGCAACTCTTGGCTCATGGCTACTACTAGCCAAGTATGAAATAAGATGCTGCAGATTTTGTTCAGTGAAGTCACACCTATCAGGTTCATGCTAACCTTATTCATTCTTATTCTAATCTATTGTAAGACATGAAAACTCCTTGGCCTTTTCACACTTGGGGTTTGGATCTTATTGGCCTTGTTTTTCCCACATATGAGGGTTATATTTAGATATTGGTGGCCATCGATTATTTTACTAAATGGGTGGAAGATGTCCCTCTTTACAAGGCTGTGGGTTTAGTAGTGTCGAATTTTATCAAGGAACATATTATTTGTTGCTTTGAAATTCCATTCAAAATTATGAGTGATAATGAAACTCCTTTTATCAATCAGCATGTGCGAAAATTATTGGACACTTACAAGATCAAGTATTGAAAATCCACTCTATACTATCCCCAAGGCAATAGCCAAGCCGAAGCAACTAATAAAAGCTTGCTAAGGATTTTGAGTAAGATGGTCCATGAGGATGAAAGAGGTTGGAGCACTCATTTGCGAGACACTTTTTAAGTTCAGTAGATATCACTCCAGATTACCACGAGTTTTTTGCCTTACTTTTTGGTATATGGTTGTGACGTCCTTCCTAGTGAAGTCCCGATTCCAATCATGAGTATCTTGGCTACATTTGAATTAGATAGGAATGCTAACATTTGTCGCTAAAGGTGGGTTGAGGACTTAGAATCCATCGAAGCACTTCGCTAGACAACAAAAGAAAAGGCTTTAAAATATTGGTCCAATATGATAAATAGCTACAACCGTGCAATCAAAGCTAGAGTTTTCATCGCTGGGCAAATGGTTCTCAAAGCCTCTGACCATGTGAGGAAAAATATTACTAGGCCATCCAAGTTTGTTGCAAATTGGGATAGTCCCTTCATAGTTGTGGAAGCACATGACAGTAGGTACTATCGTCTCAAAACTCACAAGGGAGAGTCATTACCGAACCCCGTGAATGCTAAGTGGCTCAAG